CGTCTTAATTCATTCTAGCATCAACTCAAAAGTCCAAAGTCCAGAGTCTCGTCTAAATCAGTTATGGGTGAGACTCAAAACCCAATTCATCCTAGGGCAAATTCCTTCCTGCTGTGAGCTTGTGAATCAAAACAAGCTGTCTACTCCCAAAATACAATGGTGACACAGGCGTACGGTAAACATTTCCATTCCAAAAGGCAGACACAGGCAAAAAGAAAGGAGTAACAGGCCTCAAGCAAGTCCAAAACCCAACAGGGCCAACAACATTACATAGTATTTTTTTTTTTTTAAGACAGAGTTTCCCTCTGTCACTTAGGCTGGAATACAATAGCATGATCTTGGCTCACTATAACCTCTGCCTCTAGGGCTCAAGTGATCCTCCTGCCTCAGCCTCCCAAGTAGCTGAGACTACAGACATGCATCACCATGCCTAGCTAATTTTTGTATGTTTTGTAGAGACAGGGTTTCACCATATTGCCCAGGCTGGTCTTGAACTCCTGAGCTCAAGTGGTTCATGCGCCTTGGCCCCCCAAAGTGCTGGGATTACAAACGTGAGCCACTGTGGAGGCCCTTTAAGTCTTAAAGCTAGAGAATCATTCTCTTTTGACTCCCTGCCCTGAATACAGGGCTCGCTGGCATGGGAACTGGGCCCTCAAAGCCTCAGGCACTCTTACTTCTATGGATTTGCTAAACTCAGTCTACTAAGCAGCTCTCACAAATTGGAGTCTCATGCCTGCAACTTTCTGAGGCTGGAGTTGCATGCTGGTAACTACAGATCTGGGGTCTCTGAGATGGCCATGCTCCCACAGCTCACTAGGCATTGCCCTAGTAGGGGCTCTTTGGGGTAGCTCCATCCCTGTGCAAGTCTCTGCCTGGATCTCCAGACTCTGAGACATCTTTTCAAAGCTAGGAGGAGGAAGCCACGCCCTCACAGCTGTTGAGCTCTGTGTGCCTTCAGGCACCATATGGATACAACTAGGGTTTACAGCTTGTATCTTCTGAAGCTGTAGATTGAGCTACACTTGGGGCCACTTGAGCCACAGCAACTGGGGTGGCTGAGGAGCACTGTACTGAAATGTGGGAAGCAGAGACCCAAGTCTCTCTTTGCAGCAAGCCCATGGAGGGCATCCTGGGCTTGTCCCCCTATAGCTTTGCGTCTGTGATGGGAGGGGCAGCCTCAAAGATCTCTGAAATACTTTTGGGGCCTTTTTCTCATTATCTTGATAAATAGCATCTGGCTCCCTTCCATCTATGGTAACCTCTTTAGCAAATAGTTGCTTGGCCACACCCTAGTATTCTCTCCTGAACATACTTTGTATTCTACATGGTCAGGCTGTAAATTTTTCCAACTTTTTTTTTGTTCTGCTTCTCTTTTAATTATAAATTCATACTTTAAGTCACTTATTTCTTCTCACATCTCACTGTGTGTGGTTAAAAGTAGCCATGCAGCAGCCTGAATGCTTTGCTGCTTAGAGAGTTCTTCCATCAGATACCCTACTTCATCACTCTTAAGTGCTGGATTTCATAAAGCCCAAGAACATGGACAAAATTCAGCCAAGGTCTTTGCTACTTTATAACAAGGATGGCCTTTACACCAGTTTCCTACATTGTTCCTCATTTCTTTTTTTTTTTTTTTTAATGGAGTTTCACTCTTGTTGCCCAGGATGGAGAGCAACGGCATGATCTCAGCTGACTGCAACCTCTACCTCTGGGGTTCAAGCGATTCTCCTGCCTCAGCCTCCCAAGTAGCTGGGATTACAAGCACCCGCCACCATGCCTGGCTAATTTTTTTGTGTGTATTTTTAGTAGAGACAGGATTTCACCATGTTGGCCAGGCTGGTCTCGAACTCCTGACCTCAGGTCACCCACCTGCCTCGGCCTCCCAAAGTGTTGGGATTACAAGCGTGAGCCACCATTCCCAGCCTGTTCCTCATTTCTGTCTGAGATTTTATCAGAATGGCCTTTACTGTCCATATTTCTACCAACGTTCTGGTCACAACCCCTTGAACTACTTTAAGGCTTTAGTATCTAAGAAGATTCAGACTTTTCCTACAGCTCTCCTCTTCTAATACCTCACTGGAGTCGCCATTATAGCTCCATTTATGGCAGTCTAGGCTTTTTCTAGCCTGCTGTCTTAAATTCTTCCAGCCTCTACCCATCATTACTCAGTTCAAAAGCCACTTCCACATTTTCAGGTATTTATTATAGCTACAGTCCATGTATCTGAACCAATTTTCTGTGTTAGTCCATTTTTGCTCTAACAGATTGGGTAATTTATAAAGAAATAAAATTTATTTCTCACAGTTCTGGGTCCAAAAGCATGGCTTCAGCATCTGGCAAGGGCCTTCATGCTGCACCATAACTTGGTAGAAGAGCAAGTAAGCACATGAGACAGAAAGAGGAAATAGGGTTGAACTCATTATTTTCATCAGGAGCCCACTCTCATGATAACTCACCCACTCCCACAATAACAGCATTAATTCACTCATAAGGGTGGAGCCCTCATGAGCTAATCACTGCTTAAAGGCACCTCCTACTGTTACAACGGCTGTTACGTTTCAATTGGAGGGGACATTCAAAGCATAGCACCCAGCAACCTCTTCTGTATGTGATGCCCCACCAAGGGTTAGGGACTGGTCATCGTATAATCTCCATGCCTGTTCACTCAACAACCCCTCTTGGTGATGATGATGAGGATGATGATGGTGGAATTGAAATCCTCTGCCTGGGGCCAAGAGACCTTGGTATGTGAATTGACTGGCTTTTAAGGTGGCAGACAGGCTTATTCAGAATAACAGGTGTTTCCTCTGGAACAATGATCTGGAGGGTAGGAAACTAATGTTAACAAAACTAATTATAAAGGCGATGTACTCTAAGTTGTAATCTGTCCCATTGTGTGGGCTAGAGTTAGTGACTTGCTACTAAAAATTAAAATACGTGAGAAAGGATGGGATGTTACTTCTGAGATCAAGTGACAAAAAAGCTGTGTTGTGCTTGCTAGGCACATTATTATCGATGCTCTAAGGACAGCCAGCTGCCATGTTGTGAGCTATCCATGTGACAACTGATGTCCCTACCCAAGAACCACTGAGGCCCTGAGGCCTGCCAACAGCCATATAAATGAGTTTGGAATTGGATCTTCCCTTTGTTGAGCCTTGAGATGGCTGTAGTCCCTACCTAAACCTTGATTGCAGCCTTGTGAGAGACTCAGAGCCAGAACCTAAACTGTGCCATAATTCCTGACCCATAGAAATGATGTGTATTAATACGTTTATTGCTTTAAGCAGCAAAATTTGGAAGTAATTTGTTATGCAAGATAGCTAATACAGATATAAACAGAGAATTCATGTAAAGAGCAATATACATACCCAAGAAACGTTTGAAAACACATTCGCTAATGAAAACAAAATCTTGGATAGATACTGTTTTGCTGAAAAAAGGCAAGCTGCAGAGCCATATGGGTGATGGGAACTTAAAAATCCCATAGAAGGGCAGGATGCCTGACCTAAGAGAGTCATTGGGACTCACCATTCCTGAATGCTGGTGTATTTTTATTTCACGTATTTCCACAGCATTACCAGGAGGTAGAGGTAATGACCTCCATGTGATTTTATAGCTGGAGAAGCAATGATGTTTGTAGGTTAAGTAGTCTGGCTGGGGAGCATTCCGCAATAAGTAGAAAGGTAAAGACCAGCACCCTATAAGTCCCCATGCACACTGTCTGACGCTGAGCTGCATATCACACCATAACCAAGTAAATCTTGCTTTCCTGCTGATCTGGGTCACTACTGAAATCTGTATCTTCACCTCTGAAGCCAGGCTGCTAGTTCTGCCTCTCTTTCTGATCAGAGAATATTGTTGTACATCAATTTCCTGCTCTGTAAAGACAAAGGAATGTTTCTAGGTCAGTGCTTTAGAAAGTAGAGTTCCCGGGCCAGGTATGGTGGCTCATATCTTGTAATCCTAGCTCTTTGGGAGGCAGAGGCAGGCAGATCACCAGAGGTCAGGAGTTCCAGACCAGCCTGATCAACATGGAGAAACCCCATCTCTACTAAAAATACAAAATTAGCTGGGTGTGGTAGTGCATACCTGTAATCCCAGATACTTGGGAGGCTGAGGCAGGAGAATCGCTTGAACCCAGGAGGTGGAGGTTGCAGTGAGCCAAGACTGTGCCATTGCACTCCAGCCTGGGTAACAAAAGTGAAACTCTGTCTAAAAAAAAAGAAAAAGGAAGAGTTCTCAAGACAACCTACATCATGAGGAATATGCACTCTCTAATAGAGGGGCGGGTGTCACACCAAGGATGAATACTTGAAGGGACAGGCTCCAGATACATACAGATTGGGGATGCATAGACTATTTAAAAGATACTGCCAAATCAGTCTGGAAAGAGGTTGTACTAAGTGAAATCCTCTCTGCCAATATGAGGCAGAGTAGATGTCCCCACATGTACACCTCACTGAAATCCTCAATGGTTTTTTAAAATACTTTGATAACACGACAGCTGGAAATTGTCTCATTGTCATCACACTTAACTGGATCCTAAGGTAATTTTTAAATAATTCCCTATTAAACAAATACTCTGTTAATCATCATTATCACCATTTTTTTAAATGCAAAAAGGGTCCAGTTACATATGCAGCCTAACACACAATAAGCAACAAGTAGAGCCTGCAGGTTCTCCTGGGGCTACTGCTGGCATTAAGGCTCTAGGGCGTGCACACGCAGGCATGTGTGTGTGTGTGTGTGTGTGTGTGTGTGTATGTGTGTGTGTATTTGTATGTGTTTGTGTGGTCTCTGGTGGTTGCTAATGACAGTACATTTGCCTAGAAGATTAAGAATGTCTCTCTGGGATATTGGTTGAGTTCAGGTTTAGAGTGGAGCTGGATATAAATGTTCTGGAGTCTTTTTGAATGACACAAGAGCTGGACCACAACTTACTTCTGAGCAGGCTATAATCCTGTCCCCATGTTGGAAAACCAGCCTGTCTGTGACCTTACCTGCTCAGGTAAGGGAGGATCCCTCCTGCATGTAAGATGTGGAAGTCTGCATAAATCTACTTCTGAACACTGAAGCTGGGTGCTCCCATCTTGCTGACATCAGTTGTAGAGATCTGGGAGGCTGCATCCTCTCAGCCACCTAACTCTATGGGTTCAGTCATCTGCATAAAAACACTGTGCTGGGAGATAAAAATTTGTGAATTATCAGCACATGTTTGGCACATTGTGTATTCACCCATTCAGTCATTCCTTAGTTAACAGTTAATAGGCATTAAGGCCGAACTCTACACAATCCCTTTCATTAAGTTTTAAGCTTCCCCAGAATAGAAATAAGTGAAGTGTGGAAAGGAGGGTGTGGTAAATTCAGATGGCAGATCTAAGAGATGGCTCCTTCCCACTAACAGATTAATTATAGAGACTCTTATCACTGATGCCTGTAAAACATAATTCAGTGCCATGGACCCATTTCTACATCTTTAATGTCCTCTTTACATATATTCTCCCATTTACAATCAGTATTCTATGAAGTATTCTCAATACTCAACTTGCATTCCTCTGCACTTCCCTACAACTCAGTCTTCATTTCTCATCTAACAGGGCTTAGTTCCCTCACTCATCCACTGAAATGAACTCTGCCAAGTCTACAGCCACCTCTTTGTCACATTTATAGATCAAGAGTGCTGAAATAAATGTTCAAATGGAGATAAATAGGTATTTTCCCAGGAGGAAAAGGTTTCCCTCCCCCAAGACAGAATTCATTTCTTGTGTCTATAGACAAGATTGTATGCAATGCTGTCAGTTTCCTAAAAGGTAGAATTGTAGAACAGCACAGTCAGATAACCAGAAGGCTGAATTGTAGACAATATGTTTTCAAATGAAGCACACATTTTACCTGACATATCTTATACTTTTGCTTCATTGACAGGGAGTTCATAAATAGATTTACTTTATGTCAGCAATAATTTTTATGGCTACTTCAATAATATTGCCTTATCTTTTTGTTATTTCTTTCTCAAGGGGTACCAAGTAGGCAATGGAATAATGTGAAATTACAATGCTGTTCCAAACTTTGCCATGGTTAAATATATTGTCTAAAATCACTGTCAAATATACCACCATTAGAAAATACAGTGGTAGTGAAATATAATTGGGGTGATAGGGAACGCTTTTGCAGTTTCCTGATAGTTAAGTCAAAATTCTTTTACTGTACCACTGAAATAATGATGCTGGAATTCTTTTGGGATATGCCCATTAAGTAAAATATTTCAAGTTTTAAATAAGTATGCACAAATCCATACTGATACAAGTAAACGTTTGGCAAATTAATAAAGAAAAGCATGCAAGAAGACAAACTGTCTTTATGGAATGATTCCAAATAGTATTTGTAGCTACTAACTCTCCAAGAGGTGAAGCTTAATTCTGCTCCAACCCCTGAATGCAGGTCACACTTAGTGACTCACTTCTCAGGAACAGAGTACGTGAATTGAAAAAGTTATCATACAGTGGAAAACTTGGCAAACACTTTAACTATGTGATCAAGGTTAACATCACCAGTAAGGTCATGTTGCCATCATGTAAACCCAAATATGGTGTGATAAGAAGGGCACATCAACTCCGTGGTGTTCTTTCTCAAATTCCATACTGCTGGTCTAATCATGAGAAAAACAAAACAGATTAAGGCTGTACTCCTCAAGACTGTCAGGGTCAATAAAATATTCTGAGAGTTCCTCATATTGTCAAGCAGAGAACTACCATATAACCCAGCAACTTTACTCCCAGGTACATACTCAAGAGAAATGGAAACCTATGTCTACATAAAAACTTGCACACAAATATATGTGGTGTCATAATTCATAATGGCCAAAACCTGAAACAAGTTAAGTGTTTACCAGTTGATGAGTGGATAAACAAAATTTGGTATATCAATGCAAAGGAATAAAGTATTGATACATGCTACAAAATAGATAAGCCTTAAAAACATTATGTGAAGGGAAAGAAGCCAGATGCATGATTCTATTTTTATGAGATGTCAAGAATAGGTAAATCAACAGAAACACAAAGCATATCTGTGGTTCCTGGGACTGGGGGTGAAAGCAGGGATTAATTGCGTTCAAGTATGATGGGACATTTTAGAGTGATGGAAACATCTAAAACTCAGCGATGGTGATGGTTGCATAACTTTTGTTTACTGAAAATCATCAAGTTGTATCCTTAAATGTGTAAATTTTATTGTCTATAATTATATTGCAAGAAAGCCTGGGCTTCTGTTATACCTCAGTAATGACCAAACTTTTTCATACAAAAGCCCTGATGCCATGTTTTCTATACCCATGAATGTATATAAAACTGTAGCTGTATCCTAGCCCTGCTGACTGTGTCCTAAGTAACTCCAAGCAATGACAGCTTCTCCCTGCCCTATTGCCACTACCCACCATGCTGACTCAGCTTCACTTGTGTAAAAAATTCAGTTTACACCTGACCACTTCCACATCTTCCAACTGTGGCAGAAACTTGAGACTGAGTCCACGACAGTGCCCAGGGCCTTCACTCTAACATGACATCAGCATTGTTTTTTTTTTCTTTTTTTTTTCTCCTCTTTGGACTTTCTCCTGTGACTCTACCTGAGGAATCTAAATGGCATTACCTCTCGGGGTGTCAGTATGACAATGCTTATCAAAGGGCTACATAGGTGCACACCCTTTGTACCAATAATTTACCTTTTAGAAGTTTAACTTCAGGACATTGTGAAGGATGCTGATAAGCATCCGGTTATAAGGACTATCATTCTGAAAATTCCCTTCCTTTATTTCTGGGCCTGAATTTTGAAAGAAAGACCAAATGGGACACAAAATTGTGAAGGGGCAGAAGAAAGCAGAGGGAAATTCTGTGCACACAGACACAAGAAGTGACACATACACACACATGTACAACAACCAGGTTCTGTTATTACAATCCTAGAATTCTTCCAAAACAGTTGGTAGGGCTGTCAGAGGACACATTTGGCTCACCAGTGTAAACAGGTACAGGAACTGTGCCTTTCAGCCACGCACAGACTCTGAAAAGATGTCTTCCACACAGTGTAAATAACAGGGAATGTCAGAACACTCTGAATAACACAGGCTTGAGAAAACTGATGTCACAGCCATAGGATGGAATTCTAGAATTCAGCAAAGCAAGTTTTAATGAAGACAATGATGAGAGGTGATTTATTGCCCATAAGATTAGCAATGATTCACATTATTTCTAATGTGTGAAGACACAAGGTCCTTACATACTGTGAGGTAAGGAATATAAGTTAGCAATAGTATTTGGAATTCATTATGTTAATATAAAATTTTACAGTTTCCAGGGTTTTGAAAGAACACTTCCAGGAACTTTTTTTTTTTTTTTTCACAGAAATGCTTACAAAGATATTTGCATATATATGAGGAAGATATTAAGTATACTATTGTTTGTAACAGGAAAAAATGTTAAATTAACTACATTTTCATGACTAGAATACTAATTAAATGAATTTTGGGGCACCCACATGATGAACCACATGGTTGATAAAAAAAAGACAGAGACTAATATTTGGGGGGGTCAAAGAAATTTAAAACGTTATTATAGAAATGCATTTGTATGCAAAGATGATCATAATGAGGGCAAATGTGGGTCACAAAGATCATTTAGTGGCCAAGATGCATTTTTGCTTATATAGGTCTGTAGCTAATCCAGAGGTTTGAAAGTATAAACACAGAAATAATCATTTTGTGCTTTCACATAGCACAGGAAGAGGCTACACTTTCTGTTTGGTGACCGTCAATATCCCTGTATAGTGGGAATGACCCGTTTTCTACCCACACTTCTGGAAAATTCTGTAGGGTGTGCATGGGCCACAGCATCTCCCTACCACCTTCCTGCTCAGTGAGGTTCAAGCTGCTGCAGTTCAGGCTTCTGTCAGGAGGGGGCATCACTGTACCACCATTATCACACTTCTCTACAAAGTATAAGCAAGGAGCAGAAAAATACGCTATCCTCCCCTAAAACCCAGTTTATGAAACGGACTGCAGAATAATTCTAATTCTGTCTGGATAAAAAACAACCCTGACAAGTGTAAAACAAGAGTGTACAAATATACTGTGGGGCATCCATAGGATAAAACACCAGGTAGGTCTAATGTGCCTTGGCTGTTGCTGGGAGGCAGGATTGCAGGAGCACAGGACAGTAGGAAGTGACTGAGAGGATGGGGCACTGGAGTGGGGTCTGGGCAGCTGTGTCCATAATGTCCTGGAGATGGGATCAGTAGGAGGGAGTGGGAGAAGATCTGAGAAGCCTGTACAGGAGAAGGTCTGAGAAGCCTGTACGGGCTTCTCAGAAGTCTGTATGGGTGATGAACACCCTGCTCTCCAGGAGGGACCCCCCCCAGGTGCAGACACCTCAACTAACGCTAATGAAGGAAAAGATAAATCACTGAATGTGCTGAAGATTTAGAATCAACAGCAAATTGGACTGCTTTAGTATACAAATGGGTATTCCAAACTACTGGTATCACAGTAAAGAGAAAGTTCATAACATTACTTACTCTGTAAAATTTACTCCTTTTCATTTAAAAAGAGTGAGGAACGTGGAGATAGCTGTAATGGCTGTTGGTGGCCAGAGTCAGGATTGCAACTCTGAGTGTAGACCAGGGGACTCAGCAGAAAGGAGGGAGGGATGAAAGTTGGGAGCTTGATTAATGGGATCAGACATGGTTTTCTGGAAGTTTTCACTTACCTCCAGCTATCCCTCTGTATTCATCATTTTTTTCTGGAATATTAACAGACACACTTTTTGTGGGATATCTAAATCTGAGATCAGAAGCCAGTCATGGTCTGAACTGAAAATACTGCAACTATGAGCTGTATTTGAGGTAGTAAAGCTAGACTATTTAGAAACATATATACCACACACACACACACAGAGTCTATTCTTTT